GTGGGAGATTATTTTAACAATCCATTTCGTTTGGAGCGCCTTGAGCTGCCGTTCTGGGTCCAGAATACCCAGACCTCCCTGTTATTTCGCTCGGGTGACGTGCTTCCACGCTACTTTGGAGATGAAGTGTGGTTTGGTTGCATTAGATGTCCAGAGATATGTTGTCGCTCTTCTTCTCAATAAGGATGCTGTCTGCGCTGGTGGGGTCCAGATTGTCCCTGCGTACCATAGCACGGAGAAGATGGATGTGTTTAGGATCAAGGCCCTACCGAAGATTGACGTGTACACCGCTGACCAGGCCCCCAACTTTGCTAGGATTGTGTGGTGTGCTCCCGCTGTCGTTATCTTGACACCTAGATATCTCAACGGGGTGTATGCTGGCACCTATTGGAGCCCTTCTGGGCTTGAGACTGGGCTTTCACCCTCTTCCTCCTGGTCTGCCAACCACCAACCTATGGTCTTCGACCAATTGATCTTCATTTCCGATGCCAGTTGGAAAGCCTCCATCGCCCGCGTCGAGGCTTGAAAGGATGAGTCTAATGCCCTAATTAGTACTGTGAGGTCGTCCACGAAGAGGAGGGTTGTAGGCAGGTGGATAAGACGTCCTTGTTGGTCTGGCTCCGTTCTAAGTCGTTGGATTGATGGATCCTTTCTAAGAAAGGATGCCACCGCCTCCATTATAAATAGGAAGATTGGTGCAGCCAAGGGGTCCCCTTGCCTGACTGATCGCGACATCCTGTATGTCGTTGATAGGTGTCCATTGATCTGAACTTGTCCATGTGCGTCATTGTAGAGGACTCTGATCCATTTCCGGAAGTTTGGGCCTACTCCCATCTTCTCCATACATTACTGCAGGAAAGGCCAACTGACCTGGTCGTACGCCTTTTCGAAGTCGAAGAACAATATTGCTGCATTAATTCTCTTGTCCTTTATGTATCATACCGACTCTGTTAATGCCATGACATTGTCTAATATGAACCGTCCAGGTATAAACCCTGTCTGATCCAAATGAAAGCATCCCGCTGTGATTGTTGTGAGACCGTTGGCTAATAGTTTGGCTACTATCTTGTGCGTGAGCGTGAGTACAATTATTGGTCTGTAGTTGTGAATGTCTGATAGACTTCCTTTCTTGTACAGTAAAGTCTATTCCCGTCGCCGGGTCTTGTCCCAGGCCTTCTGCTTGCCATGCTCGCTCGAGGTATGCTAGGTACTCTTCGCCCAGGATTGGCCAGTACTCGACCCAGAATTCCTTAGACAATCCATCCTTCCCCGGTGTCTTATTTGGAGACATAGACTTCAATGCCTTCCATAATTCTTCTTGGGCGTCGAGCTTTGCTGCGTGCTGTAGGGTGATCGTAGGCTCAAGGTGGATCAAAAACTTGGATCGTGCCTCCTCCACCTGCTGCCTTGTGTGTTCGGCCTCCCTTGTTGCATAAAGCTTGCTGTAGAAGTCATGGGCTACCTGGACCATCCCTTCTGCGGTAGATGTTAGACCGTTCGGTCCCTCCAATTGGTCTATCAGGGCGTTTCTTCCTCTGGTATTTATTTTCTGAAAGAAAAATTTGGTCATTCCCACTCCTTTACCCTGGCCCTCGTTTGAAGACCCCGTTGTCTCCATCGTTCCCATTCTGCTAGCTCCTCCCTCGCCGCCTCTAGAGCCCTTTCATAAATCGTCACTCCTGGACACCTGATGATGTTACGCTCAGCTAATCTCATCGCCTGCCGAAGCTCCTGCTCCCTCTCCCTCCTCCTAACCGCCATTTGTCTGGTCACCCCTTCAGAGGCTTTAGATAGGGCGATGAGCAGCTCTGGGAAGGCTTGCGACTTAGGGTTATGGGACTGACATGCTCGTAGTATAGCCTGCCTCATATCCGTGGTACGCAGCAGGGAGTTGTTTACTTTATAGAAACTCCTCCCCCTCACAACCTGTTTGTCTGTAATCAAGTGGAGAAAAACCGACTTATTGTCCAGTCCTGCCACGTACGGTAAATCGCCTATGCCTACCTCATGTATCATCATGCTTGTTATACCTGGGGATGTTAGGAAGTAGTCTATTCTTGACGCTGAGACATGCTGGCTGCGGTTCCCTTTGAGATAGGTGAACTGCTTTTCTTCCGGGAAGTGGAGCCTGTAGGGGTCCATCAAGTCTTTGCTTGTCATCATATTGTGAATTGGCAAGGCCTCTTCTCCCACTCCCTCCTCCCAGTGTCTGCTTGATGCCGACATCCTATCTAAGCTGGGATCTAAAGTGGTGTTCCAGTCCCCCACTACAATTAGGTGCCTGTCCGAGTCTAGTTGCTCCTGTATGCATTCCACTGTAGCCTTCCGCTGCTGTAACCCATTAGGACAGTATACCGTCATCAGCGTATATGGCTCGTCATAGAAGTCGAAGATGACTTTCGCCCATCTTCCCTCTATTGTGTCCACCTGGGTTTCTCTCAGTACTAACTTCCCTTTCGCTACTGACCTGTTATTCTGTAGTATGACTACTCCTGCTGAGTGTGGCCTGACCTCTGATGCCCACCAGGCCCCTTTTACCTGCTGCAGCTTTTGTGTTATCCTGCTCCTCGTTTGCTGGTGTTCGTGGGATTCCGTGAGGTAAGGGTTTTTTTTTTTTTTTTTTTTTTTTT